ATTGTGGTTTTCACCAGTGACCTAAAGCGTGGTCCAGATGCCAGCAGCCAAAAAGTTTTGCAGTAGAAATCTTCCTAGCATGAAGAAAGGTCACCATTGCAGCAATTAAGTGCATATGGAGCATGTTTGAACAGTGAAATAGAACCACTTTTCCAATAACAGAAAGACCTGCTTGATGATGAAGAACAAAATATAATAAACCTTTATTTTCACACAGCATAGGAGACCTACAATACAGCCCATTTCGTTCATTCAGCTCTGTGCTGCCATTACAACAAAGATCACCACAACAAGACCTTGAGTGAAGGCCACTGAAAGCTCCGGTTTCTTTATAAATTTATTTTCAAGTTTCACTTCTCCCTTTACAGCTGTGAGATAGTTCAGACACTTCACTTCAGCTCCCTTTGCCATTCACAACTGCAGGTCACGCTTACCTAGCTCAGGAAACCCTGCTCGTTTCACAAATGCACTCACTGAAGTGATAAACTTCAGAGTAGCCACATTCAATCAGTCACTCTTAAACTAAAACAGGCTTGTTCAGCTGTAGCACTTACACTCCAGTCCTTACACGCCAATTGTTTTACACTACACTTACAAAAACAAGCTTTTCAAAGTTTCTCTTTACATCAGCTGATGAGTGCCTGGCAAACACAGCAGAGCCTCAGACAGGAGCAGCAGCAAGGTTTAGGACACGACCAGTCTACCTGCCAGAGGAAGCTGTGAAGCACAGCAAGCTGGTTGTCCAATTCCCTTCTGGCTGGCAGAGAGCAGAACAGGCATTCCTCTAATTTTTCCCAAACCCTTCTCCTCCCTCCCCAAGTTTAACAGGCTCCCTCTTCCTTATTAGCTTTTGCTGGCAAAATGCTGGCAAACCTTGACAACCTCACAGCTGTCAGAAGAGCAAAGCCCATCCCCTTGCTCAGCTGAGGAGGACACAAACAGCAGGAGCCTGAAAGGCAGAGCAGCATCGCTCCCCACTCAGTCATCACCAGGGCTGCGATTTCAGCCACGCTGGCTGGAAACTTTAGTCTCAATGGCACTAAAGCCGAAGTTTATCACCTCGAACTTTCCAACAGCAGCACCATCCCAAGGTGTTTTTCAATCCCAAGTTCTCAGTTGGTTTCTGATTGCCAAGGAAGCAGCAGGAGGGTGTACCCCACATCACTCCGGCTGGCCGGCAGCAGAGGGCACCACACAATCACTGATGTGATTTATACACTTCCATCATGCTCCAGAGTTAATTTATTGAGCACAAATTACTGCTACAACAAGCTACAGGGCGACTCCATAAAGCATTCATCATATCAGATAAAAACGCACTGCCACGAAAGGCAGCTAATTTGCTACAGTGCTTTCAGCCAGCAATTCAAAGAAAAACCTTCAAGCTCAGTATCTCTCCGAGCTCAAAGCCACATTCCCAGAACAGCAGGTTTCACACAGTGCAGATCTCCAGCCTGACCACAGAAGAGCAGAGCAGCAGCTTTGCAGAGCATTGAAAGCCACATAAACACTTGCATTAGTCCAAACATAAGCCACCAGCCCACAGCCTAACTCATCCAGGGTTTACACACTGCAAAGCTACCTCCACATCAATTAAACATTTGGGCTGAGGATGCTCAGCTGCCTCTGAGGCAGACAGCAGAGATCCAAGAGACAAAAGAATAGCTGCATTCCTTTTGCTTCTGCCTACCCCCCACACCCACAGATCGTATGTTTTTACTTATTGAATAGTTGTTAAAAAAAGAAAAAGATGAATCTACAGAAAAGTCAATCTGCATTCCGTGAGCACACTGAGACACGCGTAGTGATGAGCAAACAGCACAGTCACGAAGTCAAAGCAGATTCTAAGCTGTCAGCAGAAACACTTCAGTCCCACGATGCCACCGTTCCCATTTAATGCCAGACCTGTTACACACCCCAGGAAAAAGGGACTTCCCAGACCATCTCCTCTGCTGAGCCACTGCACAGAGTGACAGAGGCCACTCCTGAGCACACAGCAGTCAAGTGGGGACTAACTCAGAGCTTCAGCTTTTCTAAGCATGACCTTGAGGCCAAGACCTTGATGACTTCTCTCCATCTCTCCTCTGTGGAGGGAGAAGCACCCACAGAGCTGCAAAAGAGCAAACCCAAAAGCAGAAGGAAAGAGCAGATAAGTCACCCTCCTTATTAAAGCAAGACACTATTTTCAGCCACCATAATGTTTCCCCTGAACATGTAAATACAGAAGCAATTAGCTGCCTAGGCACTTCCGCAGAAACCATTTAGAATAATCTTCCCTAGAATATATTTACATCGTTTCTGATTGCTTAATTTTCTGACACATTTGTTTCGGGCACTAGAAAGATTAAATAAAGCCAAATCACCTATAGTGATATATATTGCCATGTTACTGAAGGTAACACGCAGCACAGACAGACAACAAAAACTCCTGGGTGGTTTCAAACTTCAAAATTTTAGCAATAAGACAAGGTTCTAGGAATTGTTTTACAGCTTTAATTCAGCTGTTTCTTAAAACCTTCCCCCTTCTTCTGCTTTTACTCTGAGGGATAAAACTACTGACTGAAACAGCAGACACCATTTAAAGAGAAAGAATGAGCCTGGACAGAGATTTCATTGAAAAGCTCAATTCTGAAGCACATAGGAAATGTCCTCAATTCAAAGATTAGCCTGCACAAAAAGGCAAATTAAAGCCAGAAACAGAAGAAAATATTTTCTGACTGCTCTGAATATATTTTTTCATTATATTCTCTCCTATCATCTGGAGTTTTTGTATTAAGAAGTCAGCTCTTTAGAACAGCTTCAGGAACAAGCAGACAAACAGCATATTCATTTTCAAGCTGAAGTTGATTATTAAGTACAAAACCGATGAATGTTTGTCGGGACCAAGGAAGGGAGGCTGGAACCATTGATTGTGAGGATGCCCAAACAACTCTCTGCAGTCAGCTGGCAGATACCTCTATGACAACAGTAAAACAAACCCACACAACTAAACAGAAAAACAGAATCACATTTGAGTTGTTTTTATTCTGCTTCATCTGAAAATATTTTTACCAAGACAGCCTGTTGTCCTTAAGGCTATGTTTTCCCTCGCTCAGTGTAACTGGAGCTATCATTGCAGGGCCAAATCATTCAAAAAATAAGCACATAACACAAATATATCTTCACTCACAGACCCCCTGCAGCCCATAACTCCATGGTAATTAGACTGGGAGATGAAGCCTTCAGCCTAAAACCCAGCAACTCTGATTTACACAAGCGCAGAGAGGTTTTACTGCGAATTTTCCTGCAAGCTGCACAGGCGTTTCCTGCCCAGCTCCACACACCATCAAAACAAAAGCAGATCTCAAATCACTGACAGTTGCCATACTTTACAGAGACATAAAGAAAAATGGAGCAGGCACTGTGTACAACACGGGCAGCTCAGGATAGCTGAACACCGAGAACACTGCAAGGACACAGAAATCAGCAGAGGTACTGCCTGGCTTACACCTACCCAAAGCCTACAGTACAAGGACAATTCTGGAAGACCAAAACCACAAAAGCCAACTTTTCAATTTGAAACCTCCTAAGAATAATGACCAACTCTCTCCTCGTTTCCTCTGGATGACACATGATTTTACAAAGGTCTTCATTTCACTCTAACATGTGAAGCTATGGAGCAGGGCTTGACTTCTACCAGTCATGCAAAAGATTCCCTGCATCCCACAGCAATGCAAGCATAAAGCAGTAACATCAGGAACTCCAGGCATGTAATGATCACTGTGTGATCAAGTCAAAAGGACTTATGCACAGATTTGAGGATCTGCTGCAAATTTATGTTTTATGACAGGAAACAGCTGATCCCTTTCCCCAACAGCATGGGACACAAGCATGGTTTTATTCAGACTTACATTAAAAATCTTGAGTTTGAAAAAGCGTTTCTTGGGGGAAAGAAGAGCTCAATCCCAGTTTGAATACAGCTCTTTGAGAGCCTTCTCTCCCTCAGAGCAGAAATTGTCACAGCAGGTTTCTCCACCTTTACGGTGCAGTTACAGCAGGAAGTCTCCGAGGAAGGAAAGATTTAGACTACTAAGAGTTTTAAGTGGTTTTGAACAAGTGGAGCCTTTTAGAGTGGCAGCTGAACTGATAGTTACACAATGACATTTCAAGCTTTCAAGTCCCAATCATTCTTAATGGCACAAAGCTAAACCCAGAAGGGGACAAAGCTATTACACAGCCAAAAGTAAGTGCAGCTGAACTGTGCTTCCAAACGTTTAATTTGGGCGATCAAGCCTTCCTAACTCACACACTACACAGACAGGTTTGGCTGTTAAATTTACTACTACACCCGTGGGACAAGAAAGGAATGCAGCCATGTGTTGCAACATCCTCAGGCCACATATCCGGCGGGCATCCTCTGCCTCTCAGGACGAGTTATGCGCTTCTCTTTTCCCAAAGGAGCATCACTCCGCTGACATAATCCGCAAGCTCCACCTGGTACTCTCTGCGAGCCCTCGCCCGGAGCTCTGCGGGGACGCCGAGTAACAGGTGATGTTTGCTTCCCACACCCTTCCAAGGCAGGTAAAGAGCAATGGCACGGAGGCACAGCCTCGGGAAACGGAGCTGCCGTTCTTTTCTGCGCGCGGCTGGGACGAGCTCCCCTTCCTCACTCTTTGGCGCAAGATGCAAACACCTTGCTTTATTCCCTTACCACGCTCAGCCAAAAAAAGGCAAGGAGACCCTCCCGTCCCCGCGAATTGCCAAAAAAGTACTCGCGCTCCCGCTCCACCGCAGGCGCAGATACACAAACCAGCTCCTTCCCGGGGACCACCGCAGCCCACCCGGCTTCCCTCCCTCGCCCCCTCCTCTTATGGGGTCTCTGTGATGGGAGGGGTCGCGCCCAGCCCCGCACACGCCCCGCGCGACAGCGGCTCCCACCGGAGCCCCCCGACTCCCACCGGAGCCCCCCGACCTCCCCGGCACACCCGGGGCCGCTCAGCCCTCCCAGCCCCCTCACTCACCGGCGCCTCCCCGGCCGCTGCCCCCGCGGCGGCCGCCCCGTCCCCGCCGGCCGCGCCGCCGCCCTCCAGCTGCCGCTCGCGGTACAGGGACCAGAGCCCCACGTTGGGCAAGAAGACGAGGGCGGCCAGCGCCAGCCCCACCGCCTGCAGCAGCCGCTTCTGCTTCCGCCGCATGGGAGCGGCTGCCGGGCGCGGGCTGAGCAGCGGGATGGGGCCGAGGGGCCGGGGGTGAGCAGGGAGCGCGTCCGGCCGGCCCCGCCGCGCTCCCGGAGCGCTCCCGGAGCGCAACTTTCGCCCGCGCTCGGCGGCGGCGCCGGGCGGCAACTCCGGCACTTCCGCTCCGCTCGCGCGCGGGGCGGGGCCTCCCACAGCCCGCCCACCGCCGCGAGGCCCCGCCCACCGCCCCGCTCCCTCTCATTACCCTGCGCTAATGACTCCCCGCTAATGACTCCCCGTAATGACTCCCCGCTAATGACTCTCTAAGAACGGCGCTCCGGGGATGCCGCGGCACGGCGGGGTGTGCGCCGCCGGAGCGGGATTTGCACCGGCCGTCGGCGGCGGGGAGTCGCGGTGGTTAATTGGCTTAAAACGCCTTAATCAGAGAGGGACCCTTTAGACGGAGCGGGGACAAGGGTTGGGAGCTGCCTGATGGTTCAGGGCTGCAAATGCTCCCCCAAAGGGCCCAGGTGGCCCCCAAAGGGCTGGGGTTCGCCCCACGGGCACACATCAGCCCGGGGGTGTCCAGCAGGGATGGAGATGGAGATGGATCGCCGGCCACACCGACAGAGCATCGCTCCAAATCCATCCCCATCCCTGCCTCGCGTTAAAAAACACGCTGTGTAGTCGGACAACAATTAAGTGGCTTCACCTACAACGAAAACGACTTAATTTGGAGTCACAGCACAGTGTTGCAAGGGGTTTTTTTAGGAAAAAAGCAACGGCGGCAGAGCTTTCCCAAGGCTGGGGAGCGGCTCCGTTTCCTCGCAGCCCCGGCATCGGGAAGATGCTCCGCCAGCGCAGCAGCCGTGGGGCTCGGCTGTGTCAACAGCAAAGCTGCGACAGCCCCCTGCCCTGCTGGGCGCTGGTAAAATAAATATTAGTTCTCTCCCAGTGCAAACCCCCGCAGGGAAATTTCCTGGAGCGACAGCAAAAAGTCTACCGGGACCGTTCTGCACCCCAGCACCTGCAGCTCCTGCCACCCTCGCCCCACATCAGCAAGTGGATTTAAACTTAAGTAAACTTCCATAACCCACTAGATGGCATCTTCTAGCAGATTTCAGTGCCTGCTGCGAGAGGCAAATTATCAAGGAAAGGATTTAATTTAGAGAACAGGTTAGAGTTCCTAAGTCTAACTACACGTTAAGGCAGCTTGCACTTTCATTTTAATTATCGATGAGAATTTGTCGCCAGCTGATTTCTTTACCAGAAGTGTTAACGCTTCCATTGTTCCTCCGTGGGTGGAGAAGATAGCGACCCGTGAAATCCCTTCACTCCTGCCTTTAGAGCAAAGCGTATTCCCTTTATCATCGCTGAATCACCTCCGGCAGTGCAGAGACTTAGGCTGCTCCTGAATAATGCATAGCCACTAAAATTGTACAACAATAAAGCTACATATACATTACCTGGTACTGTGAGAATCCAGGCTGGAAAGCTACAATACCTCTGATTTAATGCTGCAGTGCCAGTGTATTGCCATATGGACCCTTATAATAACATCCACATCCCCTTACCTCTGCAAGAGCTCTTTGAAAAGTGGCTGTGAAATAGCAGGAGGTTTCGTAGGGATGCACACAGGCTCACAGGCTGCCCCTGGCAGAAAATCCTCATTTATATAAAGAAATGACAGCCACAAAGTTTGAGAGTTAATTAAAACAAAGCCACTAGCTGGCTTGACATATGTTTAAATTTAGGATTGTGAGTCTGCTCGCTAAATTAAATGTTTGCTTCACAAATTGGCTTCAGTTGAGTTGCACAAGTTTTAACTGAGAGCAGATTATGGCTGGTGCTGCAGGTAGATTAGTATTTTGTATGTGTGAGACCATCCTGAATGATCAAACCCTCTGAAAAGCCTCGTAGGAATTGAAGTCTGGCTGCTCCTCAGTGATCACTCTGGAAATGGATGTTCCAGGTCTTCCCTCTGCTTTAAGAGGGACTGAGTCCTGTTGGGCTTACCAATTGAAATAATTTATACTCCATGCAGCTGCCTTGGTCCCAAATAAATAGATGCTTCTTCTAGTAAAGGTAGAGCATGTCTCCCTCTCCTCTTTCTCCTGAAGTGTTTTGGTGGAGACAGAGCTCTGATTTTGGCCTGTTGGATGCAATGCCTTGGGGATTGATCGAGTACATGCAAAATAAACATGGATTTACATTTCTGAGAAAGGAGAAAGCCTGTGGCTGTTAAGCTCTAACTGGAAAGGGAAATGGTGTACCTTCCCCAGGCATCTTTTCAAAACAAATATAGGATAAATTAATAGCAGCTCAATCCCTCTCTGGAAGCTCTCTTTGCTAGCGAGCTGGGTTGCCTGGTTTGCAGCTCGTGTGCTGAGCTGCTGCAGGGCAGAGTGCAGCAAAAGTGGGTAACAGCGTCATGAAAATGAAAAGCCTTGATGAAGGGTGAGGAGCAGGGCTGACCAGAGGGACCTGGTCAGCAGATGCTGGGAAAGGGCAGGAGAGCATTGAAAAATGCTAATGGGAGTGGATGTGACAGGAGTTCCTGGGATAAAGCCCACAGATGGCATGACAGCATGGAGACGAGATGGCACTGATGGACTGAGGGAATCAGTGTTCTTCTGCCTTCTGGTCTCCTCCGACTGCAGCTCCTCAGGGCAAGGGCTGACTCCTGTGAAGGGCTGCATCTCGTCCTTGCAACTGCTGCAGGGCTGCCTGATGGGAAGCAGGGAGTCCTTTGGGTGCCTGTGAGGTGAATGGTTATGGGATATAGAAAAATGCTGTGTCCAAATGGTGGGAAGAATGAGCTCTGACTCCAATGATATCAGAAGGCAAATTAATTACTTTATTATACTATATTATACTATAACTATATTACACTAACAAGAAATATCACTAACTAGGAAAACTCGTGACTCTCTGCCCGACTCTTTCACAATTAGCTGTGACCTAATTGGTCAATCCAAAACACCATCATCAGAATCCAATCCAGCAATCACCTTCTGTAAACAATCTCTATAACACATTCCACATGTGCACAATAACCAGGAACAGCAATTGTTTTTATTCTCTTTTCTCTGCTTCTTTCATAGCTTCTCTCAGGAGAAATTCTGAGAAAGCCAAGTCTCTCTCTGTTCAGAGGGTATGTGAATACCACAGTGGGATACCTCCTCTCCTGCTAAGTGGTCATAAGTGAGATAAGAGTTGGCTTTCCATGCTCCTGCTGCTGTGCCAGCCTCACAGCATGGGTTAGGGGGAGAAAACACTGGCAGAGGGATGGCATAGGGGGGAAATGGGGAAAAATATCACCCAAGAGCCTGTTAGGTTTTTTCCTGGGGTTCCCAGATGCTGCAGATAGACATTGCCACTATGGGGATGGAGTTAGGAGCTCCCATCCCAGTCTCTGTGTCCACACTGTGTCCTGTGTCAGATGGCTGCACCCGCAGGGAAAGTCAGCTCCTTTTTTGATATGTGTTTGTATGCTGGTGATGCTTTCTCTCTTCTGAAAAATCTCATTTTTAGCCAGGAGGAGAAAAGAAAAAACAATCTCTAAAAAATGAATGAACTTCAGCCATGGCTGTGTCACAACAGGACTTTTGTTTTCGTGGCATTTCTTTATTCTTCGGTGTTTATTAGTTGAAGTTCAGCTCATATTTCATGTGAACAGAATTGATTTGTTGGGGTTTTTTCCCCCCTTTTTTCTTTTCTGATAAAAGACAATGCTGAGGAACCTGCTCACCTGTGGGCAGGAGCACAGCCCTCCTCTGCTCAGTATGGGGGTGCCTGTCAGCACAGCCCCCCACAGCCATCCTGCTGCACTCCCCAAACCCTGGAGCTGCTTCCAGCCAGCACTCAAGATGCTGAAAAACAATGTAAATGCCTGAATAGCTCACAGAATTGAGATGATTACAGGCTTTTAAAAAGAAATTGCAAACCTTGTCTCTGTGGGAGAGCATCCAGCCCTCTCCCCATCCCTCCCAAGAAATGAAGAGAAAGCACCAACATCCATAAATCCTTGTGCCCTGGTTGGGAGTTACCTGTGGTGTGACTGACCTGGGGTTTTATAGGCATAAAACAGACTTTTAGCAGAAAAATAAATAAAATAAAAATGGTGATCCACCTGAGCAAGCAAAATCCCCACGGTCAACAGGGAAATCTGCCTGAATTTACTTTGGACAAACAGAGCCCAGCAGTGCAGGGCAGGAGAGGGTGGCTGAAGCTGGATGCTGGGGGAAGATGCTCAGGGTCCTGCTTGGAAAGTGGTGCCATCACCAGTGGTCACTCCTCCAGTCTGGTACAAAATGGAAGAAGTGACTGGGTCCATCTGCAGCCTGGAGACGTGCAAAAGCAATGAAGCTGTGGAAAGAGTTTCCCAAAGTGTAACATTTTTGACTCCTCTGGCCTTAAATCAGGTAATTTCACTGATTGCCCGTGGCAGGGGAAATTGCTGATGTCTAAGCTGAAGCACAGCCCTGGAAGATGAGGCAGTGATGGCTTGCTGGGAGGATAAATACCGGAGCAGAGTATGAAGCAAGGAGGGAGCCTCGCACATTCCACATTGCAAACAGATGCAGCTACACATCCAGAGATTTCCTTTGCACAGGAATATGTTTTTCCTCAAGAGCAATATGAATCCATGCCCCTCTTGGCCAGGCTGCCCAACCTTCAGGAACATTAGTGGCCGAGAGAAAAAGTTCTTGCTTCACTGTGCAGGGCCTGAATGGTCCCAGCTCGCCCTGCTGGACTTTGGTGGTCATTGAGGACACCACTTCTCCAGGCAGAGCTTTGCATGTCAGGCTGCTTTAGTCCTAGCACTGCTTTTCCAAAGCAGCCCTGACAGTTTGTGTATAATTATCAGTGGGGCTCAGTATAGGAACGAGGAGACAGTGTCTATTCCTGGCTGTCTACTCAAGTAACCTTATTTTAAAGAAAAAACGAAAACCACAAATGTTGTTGCAGTCTCTCTGGCTGGAATAGGCAATGAGCCTTGTCTGCTCCCTCTGCTCTGAATTCAGAGCTGCTGCAATGAATCGGACTCATTCCAAGGCCGGTGGAGCCAGGCAGACAGACTGCAGTCAAGATGTCCCCAAAACTCCCTGGATCCCTGGCTGCTCTGAGCACGCCGTGAATTTTGAGGCCAACACTCCCTGTGCTTCTCAAGGGATT